GCAAGGCAAAATTGGGGTCCTGGTAGTTGGGGGGAGGAAGCGTTTAAGAACTAGAGGAAGGTTGTGGGTTTCATTATTGCTATACTGTACCCTAAGTGACTCATCTCCCCACTACCCCTCCGCAAGGTATGTCCAGTTGTCTAGAGATGGGCATTGGGTCTCCACTCTCTCTTATATATGAGTTTCTATGGATTTGTTTCTCTAAAGTACCCAGACTAACACAGGGACCAAAGAAGGACTTGTGGAAAGGTACATGGTGTGGCCCGGTGCTGTGACAGCCTGCATTGCGATTGCTCATCCTTTACAATATATCAGACCACCGACTGGCTATTCATTTGTTAGTTGCTCGGGGTCTGTTTCCAAGTACTGGCAACCTGATTGACAACAGGAAGAAAGGCTGCCTGGTCCTGCGCTACGTTCTCATCTTCCAGCACACTCTCTGATGATGTGTTGTTGTAACCCTTGAGGTTTTCATTGGAAAACTTTTAGAAGTAAACTGTCAGGCCTTCACTCCTATTCCTCTTAGTTTGAAAGTTCTACTGAAACCTACCCACCATGGGTAACCCTGCTGATGGTTGAAATACTCGTGGTTTCAGCACCATAGCAGCATGTAAGCCCCCATCACACAACAACTGACAGGTGATGGGACCACCAGTTAGGACAGAAAACAAAAATCTCAACAAACAAACAAAAAATACTTCTCCGGGGGAAAGTCAGTTTTAACTTCCTGGGACTGGTGTATTAGTAGGGAGAGACTGCTAGCATCCGGTGATGTTCTAGGTCCCCAACCCATCATCTTCTGAGCCACCCTGCTCACATCTACTGAAGCTGATGTGGTAAAGTCATATAAAACATGATACCATCTATTGTCCAAGGTTTTTTTTCTTCTTGATGGAGCAAGGATTTCCTCTGAACTCTTTTCTTCTATTCATGGACTTTACTGTATGCAACATCTCTCTGCATAAAAATGGAAGTAAGTATCACAGTAGATACAGCCAGCCTTTTGATTACCCACCAAGCACGTTAATCACTGCAACACTCCAGGGCTCCAATTAGTTAACATCTTCCCTACCTGCCATCTTGAGTTCGCATAGGTGTGACTGTATCTGGATTCCTCATGGAGATCCCGCCTCTGGGGGAAAGGCAATGGAAGGGAGAAACTATGTTTCCTCCTTGGCTGAAGGCATGGGAGACACCATGTTCTCCCGGCACAGGGCGTGCATGAAAGAGGGAGTGGGGAAGAGGTCCTGGCGTTCCCAGGGAGCAGAGACGTAGGTCCCTGTTCTCAGCAAGAGTGATGTGGATGATGTCACTCCCCCATGGATTAGGGTTCTAGCCATCCAGAGTGAGGCCATGACCATCACTGTGAGTGCTCATCTCCGTTGACTTGACGTTACCTCAGTGAACATCTTTAAGTTAAAGATGAGCATAGTCAGCACTTGTCTGTGACTCGCCCTCTTCTGAGTCCCGTGTTGTCATTCTCCAAAGCAACAGACACTTTCTGTCCATAGACTGTGGGTAGCTTCAGGCTGCTCGTGAGAAAGTATTGTTGCGAGGTCATGCTGGTCAGAAGCTGTGTCACTTCTTGGGGGTGATTTTGACATTTTTCTTTTAAGGGGCGGGGGAATGGGTAAGATAATTGGAAAGAGTTGGCTCTTTCTGAAAATAAAATTTTTGTACATGTAATTTTATTTTATCCCTAGAACAATCCTGCCACAGGGATGCATTACCCAATAAGTAAGGTAAGCATATACACAGGGCAACAACAAAACAGAAGAAAAGCAGTTCAAAGCCAAGATCTACAGACACCGACAGACAAGACACAAGGAAAGGCCAGCACTGGAGAGCAAGGGACCAGCTGGGAACTAAATGAAATGGGTACTGTTTTATAAATGTTGTAGGCAATAACAACTGTATTTCTCCTTTTCATTTCCAGCCAATCAGCTATAACCTGACATTCAGTTCTCTCACAGACCACATTCAAAACTTGCCAGAGGCATTGTCAGCGCATGACTTGTGCCATATCTGGTCCTGCACAAAGTGAGCCAAAACACATGTACAGATCCCCACCCGAAACGTAGGTCTTTTAACCTGGTGCTTGGCAGCCAATTCACTCCCTCCAAGTCAAAGAGAGAAAGGGAAGCTTTGATTTGGTGAGGAGACTGCGACAGTGCCAAGCAGAGTATCTCGATGGTGTGCTGTTTGAAATCAAAATACATAGAGGCCATGTACATTTGACTTTGGAATTTGTACTTTGGGGAGTCACTTAGAGATGCTATACATGATCTCAGGTTCCAAGGTAACCACGGGAAACAAATGTTAACCATGAGTGAGCAAACCAAGCATAAAGCTGCTTAAGTCTCAGGCCACTCTCTAGGCATCTTTGCTGACTAACTAGACAGCAGGGCCTAGCTTTGATCACTAACAGTCATGTAAATAAAGGAAGACTCTCCACCTTGTTTGACCTTTTTAGGCAACAGCCACATCCAACATGTCTGCTTTTGAGTAATGTAGTGAATTATAAAAATTCCATAGACACTATATTCAGTACAGTACCTAAGGGGGATTTTGTAAGGGGAGATTTTCTAACTGCATTAATTAGAATAACTTGGGTTACAAGATTGAAGAGGCGCTCAAATTTGTATCAAGAAGCCCTGATGGTACTGTGGGTTAGATGTCGGGCTAGTAACAGCATGGTTGTCAGTTCAAAGCTATCATCTGTTCCTCAGGAGAAAGGCAAGGCTGTTGGATTCCACAAGGTTGCTCTGAGTCCATGAGGTGGGTATATTCGTATCATGCTTTTTGCCATTGCTCTCACCTGGTGAGTGTCAGCAGTAGTCCAGTGAGTTGTGAAGATGCAGCATCAAAGGAGAGAAAGAGGTAAAGTTTTAAAGCCTTATTTTAAAACAAAACAGAAATACTCCTGGAGATCTCGGAAGGCCTGCCAACAAACGTACTACAAATGACTGAAACAGTTTCTGTCTTGGACGGACAATTTCTTTTGACTATCTCTGATCAGAAGAACAAAGTTACATATCCCAGATAATTTTTTTACTTATGCACTCACTCACTGCCATCGATTTGATACTGACTGATAGCAACCTGAAAGGACAGGGTAGAACTGTTCCCAAGATTCTGAAATTGTAACTCTTTATGGGAGTAGAAAGTCCCATCTTTTTTTACTTAGTTTTCAAAAAAATATGTTAATGCTCAGATTCAAATGTGAATTTTATTTTAATATATTTTATTTGTTTTCAACTACTCAAATGTATTCCTAGATGGACCAATATATATATATATTAAAAGATCAGCTTATTAGGGGCTCTTACAACTCTTGTCACAATCCATACATTGATTGTATCAGGCATGTTTGTACATATGTTGCCTTCATTCCTTTTTAGACATTTGTTTTCTATTGAGCCCTTGGTATCAGCGATTCTTACACCACCAGCCCTGCCCCTTGATAGATTATAAATTATTATTATTTTCATATCTTACACCAACTGTCTCCCTTCCCCCATGTTTTCTGTTGTTCTTCCTCCTGGAGAGGGGTGTATGGTTATGTGTCGATCATTGTGATGGGTGCCCCTTCCTCTCCCCACCTTCTCCCCTTCTGGTATCGCTATTCCCACTCCTGTTCCTGGATTCTGTATGTTGTGAGCCCCCATCTTATCTATACCTGTGTAAGTGCTCAGGGCTAGTCTGAATTGAGAAGCAGCGCTGGAGTCATGATAGTGGGGGGTGAGAAAGCCTCAAGGAACCAGATGAATATTGTGTTTCATTGATGTTTTACTGCTGCCTGGTTGACTCATCCCTTCACTGTGGCCCCTCTGTGGGGGGATTGTTCCATTGTCTACAGACGGGCTTTGGGTTTCTGCTCCACCCACCCATCATTGTCAACAATATGTTTTAGTTTGTTTGTTATGTGTCTTCTGATACATATTACCTGGTCCTGATGACTCCTCATGATCGCAGCAGTGGTGTACTCCTTCAGTGTGGACTTCTTGCATCTCTGCTGAATGGCAGCTTGTTTAACTTCAAGCCTTTAAGACTCCAGACACTATATCTTTTAATAGCCAGGCACCATCCCCCTTCTTCACCACATTTGCTTATGCACCCATTTTGTCTTCAGTGATTGTGTCGGGAAGGTGAGCATCTCAGAGAGCTGATTTGTTAGAACAAAGTGTTCTGTATTGAGGGGGTGTATGAGCAGAGGCCCGAGATCCATCCACTTTTTCAGTGTATTGCTGTATAAATATATGTACATAGGCCAATACCTCTATTTTTGTGGATTAATGCGTTTGCATCTGTACACACCTATTTTTATACCTCTATCCATTGCTTTGATTCCTCGGTCCTTCCTCTGTTTCCTTTTACCTTCCTCCTGCCCCACCATCACTCCCCCCCCCCTATTTCTGCCCTATTTTCTCTTAGCTAGTTGGATGTTGCTCTGAGACCCCCCAGGGTCTCTATCTCCTCCTTGTTGTTGACTCTAATTCCCTAGTTGTTCCCCTGTCTATGGTGCTGCCTGCTCACCACACCCTTCCCCCACTGCCCTCACTCCACAGGTCCCCACAGACCATTGGTCCCACTGATTTTTCCTCAGGCTTTCCTCCCACGCATATAAGTAGGCATGCCAACTATGTCTACAAACTAACTATGACCTAGACCAAACAAAAAGAAAACAAAAGATTGTAAGAAGAAAAGGAGAGAAAAAATATATATACATATACATAATTCTAGGTCCGTTCATGGACCTTCATGACTATCTCCCCACTGGTCCTGGGATATCTCCAGAAGCTGTCCCTCCCAGCCTGAAGCCCATTTGTAGGGGGCTCTTCTGGGGCATCGTAGCTTTTATTTGCTGCAGTTGCTAATCTATTATATTCTCTTCTTGGATTGTCCCACTGTGGGGGATTCAGACCTTATTACCTCCCCGCTGTGTGACCCCAGGATTGTCCTCTGTCGCAGTCTTCTCCAGTAAAGGGACAACATGTTATGAGCTTAGATGGACCAAATTTTAAAAGTGACATAATTTATTATCCAGGTAAAATGAAATGGCAGGAACTAAGTGGATTGCAAAAAATTAAAACACTGAAACATAAAAATAAAAAGACACTAATTAATCTCTTAAGATAATTCTAGAGCTTCTAGGAAGTTGGCAATTGAGTAACACATACCAGAGGGACTACACAGGAATCAGTGAAGGAGAGTTACTAAGAGGGAAATTCCACACTGCCGGGTCACAGGAAGGCCATCAGAAAGAGAAGTAGGCACAGATACACTAGGTTTTGAGGAACTGGGAGCTTTTGGCTTACCACAGTGGAGGCCAGCTAGCGTTTGACCTTAGCCCTTCACTGTCTCGGCTGGAGCCGGGATCATTTGGAGCTGGTGCAGGGGCTTTGTTTCAACAAAGCCACAGCTTGCTGCCAACTCAGGGCAGGGTTTTAACCCCTCCAGCCCATGATCAGGGATCGGCACTCAGCTATATTGTTACTTTTGTTTTCCTCTCTTCTCTCTGTCCCTCCACAGTCTCAGTGAGCTTAGTTATTTTTTTCTTGCTTAATTCTTTCCCCTTCCCTTTCTCTCACGCTCCACTGCCTACCTCCAGATAATTCCCTTTATCCTAGGGCATGCATGCCTTCTCTCCACTTGGCTGGGAGAGCTCCACCTACCCTCCACCAACTTCTTCCTGGGGAAATCCCACCCACCTTGTTTGGCATGGCTGGGGGAGCACCTACCCGTCCTCTGTGGTCCCATGTAACTGAGGGAACTTCCTCTCGCATGCCATAGTGCCTCACATGGCTTAAGGCAGCTCAGCCAACACTCACCAATGCTCCACGCTGTTGAGGGAAGCTCTGCCCAGCCTCTGCAGTAATCTACCTGACTAGGCTAATTCTGCCCACCATTTGCAGTGCTCTACACTGAAGTGGGCAACGCACCAGCCTTCTGTGGCACTCCCATTACAGCCGGCACCCCCACATGCCCTCTGTGGTGCTCTAAGCTTCCGTGGGCCACACCATCATGGCTTCTTGTGAGATCACCCTATAAAGCACCATCCTCGAAGATCGACAATCACCCAACCAGCATTCCCTGAGAGGATCATCCAACTTTCCCTCCAAATAACAAAACACTGGTTGATTGGGAAAGAGTGAAGACACAGGAGGATAAAGTGGTGGGCCAATTCCACAGTGAAATTAGCTGCAGGCTGTTCAAAGAAGTATTCCTAAGAGTCTCCCAGAGAAAGCTAATGCGCTTCGACTCCCTGGAAAATGGCACTTGGCTCCCCTAAAACAATGCAACACAAACAGCAATCAGCCCCAAGGACCTCAATGAAAAAGCAGGAGAAACAAAAGGCAATGGCAGAAGATTCCCTGAGCCTAACG